CACCTTGTCGAACTTGTGAAGTTGCACCAGAACAACTACACAATATTTCCATACAAGCGCACACATTTCTTTTGTTTAAAACAAATGTAGTACTTAATAATTATTTGGAAAAATATTGTAAATACCTATAAATATATATATATATATTTTTTTTTCATTTAGAAGAAGCCAAGTGTATATGTGTATATATATATATAATTTTTTCTCATTTAGAAGAAACCAAATGTTTTGGCTATTAATACCCTGACTCATATTCTGGAGGGCAGAGCACGGGCAAGGAGCTGTTATTTTACCAAGGTAAGAATTAGCCTGTCAAAACTTTAGATGCCAGATCTTACCAGTGTTACAGGTAGAACCAATATAGACAAATATTAATTGCTAGTCTCACACAGTAGTTGTTAATTTGCTCATAATAAATTAAAGATATTATATACATTTTACTTTTACATTCATAATTTTTCTCTCCTTTTAAGAAATACATATTTGAAAATAAAACTGAGGTGGTTGGTCCCTATTTGGAGGATGGAAATCATTGGACTTTTTTTGTAAGTCATTCACTAAGAAAACATACATTTTGAGTAGTAATGTGCATATTATAAATATGTCAAGCATATTGGCTCCCAGTGTAACATATGTCTTATTTATATTTGCTGTTGATTTATATATATATATATATATATATAATCTGTTTGTTCTAGCACTGCAGTATCGTGGATCGGACTATTACTTACCTGAATTCACTTGGGGAGACTAAGCATCAGTATAATAAAATAGCAGAAAACTGGAGGTACAGGAAAGTAAAAAAAAAAAAAATTACATTTTTGTATTTCTATATGAACTTTGTTTTGCCCATCTATATGAACTTTGTTTTATCTACTTTACATATTTTAAACTTTACCTACATTTCAGCACATTTGCTGCATCAAAAGGGTACCAGGGGCCATGGAAATGGGTAATGAGGTAGCACAGCCTCCAGTCTGACAGTATTTCCTGTGGTGTTTTCACAGTTGTGGTAAAATGCTTTTATTTTTATTATTATTATTATTACTACTACTACAACAAATCATTGTCAATTTTTTGGATCATGAAACAGTTGTGGTATTTGTAATGA